CCATACAAACTATGTACCATGCTAATCATATGTGGAAGTTTTACCTTTTTATTGCTTTTCAACACTGAATAAGAGTCAGTATATTTTGTATATACATCACATTAGAATTTGTCTTTAAAACAAGAATTTACACAAAAAGACTCTTTCATACAAAAGCAAAAACAGATAAAGTGATGTTAAATAAAAAATATAAAACGTAAAGAAGTGATTGTATAAGTATTCACCCTCTTCAAGTCAGTATTTAGTAAATGCACCACTGGCCGCAATTACATTGAGTCTGTGTTGGCTAGGTCACATCTGAACATTGCAATGTTACCCCATTCTTCTTTGCAAAATTGTCAAGTTACCCAGGGGTAGCGAGTGTATAGCCCTTTTCAAGTCTAGCCACAAATTCTCAGTTGGATTGAGATCTGAGTTCATTGTCTTGTTGGAAAACAAATCTTCCAAGTCACAGTTCTCTTGCATCTGGTTCCTGCAGGATTTCCCTGTACTTTGCTGCATTCATTTTACCCTGTACCTTCGCAAGCCTTCCAGGGCCTGTTGCCGAGAAGGATCCCCACATCATGATGCTGCCACCACCATGCATCACAGTGGGCATTGTGTGTTTGTGATCATGTATAGTCTTTGGTGTGTGTCAAACATAATGCGTAGTCTGATGGCCAAAAAGGTCAATTTTGGTTTCATCAGACCAAAGAACCTTCTCCCAGTTCATTCAGAGTCTCTCACATGCCTTCTGGTGAACTCTTGTCGAGATTTAATGTGAGATTTTTTTTTTTTTTTTTGCAGTGGCTTTCTCTTTGCTACTCTCCCGTAAAGCTTTGACAGGTGAAGAACAGGCACATTCTCTTACATCTCAGCCACAAGAGCTTGTAACTCCTTCTGAGGAGTCATAGGTAGCTTGGTGGCCTCGCTCACTAATCTTGTCTTGCACGGCCACTCAGTTTTTAAACAATGCCTTTACTCCAGGAAGATTGTGTGCTGTATTCCTCCCATTTTCGAATGATGGATTTAAATGTACTCCAAGAGATGTTCAGTGACCTGGAAATTTTCCTGTATCCATCCCCTGACTTGTGCTTTTTAATATCCGTTTCACTGAGTTGCTTGGAGTGTTCTTTGTCCACATGGTGTAGTTGAAGTCAGAAGTACTGATTTACCAGTAACTGGACCTTCCAGATACAGGTGTGTTTATACTACAATGACATGGAACACGTTCAATGCATTCAGATGATCTCAGTTTCACTAATTGTGTGACTTCTAGCATCATTTGGCTGCACCTGTGTTCAATTTTTAAAACTTTAACGGGTAAATACTGATGCAATAACTCATTTTACATTTCATATTTTTTAATCAACTGTCATGGGTTTGCAAAAATCTGTTTTTATTTTGACTTTTTTTTTTTTTTTTTGTAAATTCTTATTTTTAAAAAAGCCAAAATACATTGACCATGATTCAGTGTTGATACACAAGTTAAAGAGAAAACATCCAGGGGGGTGAATACTTTTATAGGCATCATTGTTAATAATTGTTAAATATAGTAACTAGCAATGCTTAAGCATTTTTAACGGAGTTAGCTATCTAATGTTAGTTTGCTAAAAAGGTGACACGAAAAAAAAAGCTACTTAATTTTGACTTACAAATGACAAAATATAGCATAATCTGATATATTCTCATTCTAAACTACATGAATATTACATTTCAAGCACATGTACTGTATATATTTAACAAAACTACGTAGTAGTTATTAGGATCATACGGTGGACCTAATGTGCTATGTTATTGAAGGATTTATGAATACCAGGTGTGAGCAAGTTGGAAGGTCAACCTGATAATCAAGCAATAAATCCATTCCCCCCTGCTAAGAATACAATAGAAAGTGGCAGTTTTCAGAATTAATCATGTATGTACTGTAATGTATGCTTGTGGCATGTGTGTTTGTGGGTTGGGGGTAGGGTTGACCCCTTAAGGCTGCGTTCATGCTTCAATGATATAACATCTAAAGGCTTGCCGCCGTACTCTCTAGCCGTCTTCATGTTATTGTAGGCCACGCAGTCCTCAGGGACCGCTAAAAAAGTTCACTTTGATGCCCAGAAATTCTTGTGAACTGCGCTTCATTTTCACACAGGTTCAGTGCAGTTTTTTATATTGTATATAGCTTTGCAGTAGAGTGATGTGTTATCTACATGTTGGTATATCTTAGTGAGGAATGTACATTTGCCATGCCCCAAACCAGGAAGATATATTATCATTCATTCTTAAGACAAAACAAAGTGCTGGCAAGTTATCGTCTGTCTTTTCTCTCTAGAAGCCTTGGATTTGATTAAATGTACCCAAATAATCTAAAACGCTTCTAAAACTCTGTGTGAAAAGTGCAATCTGGTGTACTTTGTCATGACTGAAGAGATATAAGACAAAGTCTGAATCCCAAGTTGTTGATATCTAGCATGGAAAGTCAATAATGAATGAATAATCAGCATGTCACCATTGTGTGTACTTTCCCATAATCAGAGATTAATACACCCAAAATCTGTTGCATGTCTGTCTGTCCTGGAAGAAGGATTCCTCTTTAACTGCAAGATTCCTCCTATCATTTTTGTGTTAAAGAGGTTTTGAGAGAGTTTTCTTTATTTGAATTTGAATTGAAGCAGTGTGGCGGGCAGAATATATAAAACTACTTAACACTACCTGTCAAAAATTGCTTTACCACAGAAATAAAAACTGACTTGTAAATTGTCTTCATACGTATTTATTTAAATAAAAGATTGAAAGAAAGTAGCGTATGGCAATAACAAATACAGAATTCAGTCAATAACTTAGGTCATAGGCAACTTCACATAAGCAGTTTGTTTTGCTTCAGTAACATTCTTTTGGGGGATTTCTAATAAACAGTTTTACGAGGAAGGATATGTACAACAAAACAAATCTGTCTGCAAAAAACAAGACAAGAGGAAAACTGTGCCGTGACGGCTGTATATTGGACAAAATGCAACTTGTTTAGGATGGCAGGGATGCTCCAGACGGGACAGAGAAGTGAAAGGATGACTGCAGCAGAGCTGCAGAGCCACGTTTTAGACGTCATGTTGCTTCCAACAACCCACTCGTGGCTGCTACTCGCGCGGGGTTCTTCCAGCCAACGCAGACATCTACAACAGCCCGCTGCTCCCTGATATATCCGGCCGTCACCTTCGCTGTGGCTTCTGTTTAATGCTACGAATGAAAAGGTGAGGCGCCCTCTCCAAGACCCATCCCTCCCTCTCTTGGAGAGACAGGAACTGCCCCTGCTCGCACTGTTGCTAGGCAACACGTTAAATTCCAGTGTTCTGCACATCGCCGGGCTTCTCGGTGCAGACCTACAAATCATCAAGTCCTCCATTAGCCGAGCTGTCAACAGCTGCTAATGCCAGAAGACTCCAGTGAACACAAGAACAACATCAACAGCTACAAAAACACCAGTGACAGCCACAAGCAAGTAGAAACATCCAGCGGAAAGAAATTACCTTTTAAAAGTAAAAAATGAGAAGACTTTTCAGGGTAGTTTGCAAAATAAAATCAAAATATATCTGATGCATAAAAAGAGAAAAGAGGAAGGAAAAACACAGGTCCAGCCTGTTTGTGTGATTCAACTCAACCATTCCCTCCTCTCTATCTTCTCTGGGATATTTAATCTTATTATTTGATTACTGTTAACAATGAATCTTTAACCTGAAGGGGAACTCTGCCACTTTTTCACACCAAGGTCAGTTAAAAGTCTTGGAGTAAACTACTGTTTAGGTGAAAAAAAAGTTGGATGAAGCTGCAGGACATCCAAAAAAGTGTCTCAACTGAGGTCACATGAGTCAGCTAGTGATGAGCTCAACAGACCTCTGTAGTGCTCATCTTTGAGGCCAGCGGGCATGGATGTACTAAAGAGAGAGTGGATGAAAGCTTTCACATGGTCACTTGCAATTTAGCAATAAAAAAAAAATCCTCTACAGCCCAAAAGCATTTTCACCGTAGACCACAATTACAAATGAGACGTCTGCAATTCTGTTGACAGGACACCTCCACCTGCAAACACAGTTGGTTTTTAATCTTAATCCTCGGATGCTTCATTTTTGTAAAACATCTGCAGCATTTAAAAAAATAAAAATAAATCTTCTCCAATATAAATCCCATGAGTCAGGTGGGAAAAGTTCAGAACACACGTGCAATGAGCTGCACAACATGGAGGCAAACTTGGAAGCTAGAAAACTCACTGTCTCATGCACCAGGAGAGCAATTTTCATTTGCCTTCTGGTATTCAGTGTCCTTAATACATCCATGGCAGCGAGGCTACATTAGCTGGATGTATTGAAGAGACTGGATAACTCCATTCATTCAGATAAAACGTTCCATCAGTTAGCTGGATGTTCTGCAGTCATCCAACATTTTAGGTCCATAGAGCATGAGCATTAGTGTCCTTTTGGGATGAAATAAAACAATCACGTAGCCTTTTTGCGGGCTTTGTAATGCTTGGAAAAATGCATTCAGCTCTACAGCCACTCCTTAAAAAATGACTGTGTGGTAAAAAATGCTTTGCGGGCCAGTGTGCATTACGTGATGAAGTTGGAGCAACGTAATTTGGCCCAATGTCAAAATCGGCACACAGCCCAGTGCTGTTCCTGGAGGCTCGACTATAACATATCTGAAACTCTGACCATATTGCTGTCAGTTGAGATGCATTGTGGGTAATGTAGGAGTCAAGGAAGGAGAATGCGTACGAAAAAAGTCTGATCAATTCTGAACTTTCTTTCCAAACTCTCATTTGTCAGTCAGGAAACTGTGTTAATGTGCATTGATAAATCAGTGGACTACTCCTTTAACCCAACACTTGGAGCTTGTGAAGCACACCTTTAGGTCCCCAAGACACTTAAATATCCACGAGGAATCAGAGAACCCTTTGTGGTACATTAACATTGATCCATCCAGAAAAGAAAACTTTTTTATGCCTCTAACCCGAAAGAATGACTTAATTTTCACAGAGACAAGGATAAAAAATAAAAAAAATGTTTTCCATTTAGCAGAGTACAGAGATGATTCATCAGTGTAACACCACTAAAATCAAGGGTTATTGTTAGTAACGCTGAACAAATAAAACTGCCAAGGTGATGGCTAATGGGAGGGAATTTCACAAAGACATGTTCAGACAGTCTTTACATGGCCCAGTTATTTTTTTTTGTTTGTTATTAACAGCACGTCCCCCCCTTTTTGTAGCTCACGTGAGTGCTGAGTCACATTGCGCTCCTTCAGATGTGCTCTCGTTGTGTCCTCCCACTGACTTTGCAAATGAACGCTGTTTGCCAAATCCCTCCCTTCCCGCCACCTTTTCTCCACTGTCAGCTTTAATTTCCGAACGAACGACTGCGAGGGGTCAGCCAGGGAATAATTTTCTTCAAGGAACGCCGTTTTAAATTCCCCGAGCCGCATTTCTGTAGATACCAGTTCCTGTCACTGTCAGATTTTACATTTCATCCCGTCACTCAGCCCACGGCGTGACCTTAAACAGACATTCAGACAAAAGAGATGGATGGGAAAGGGCACTGCTATCAGAATTTCAAATGGGTCTCATCAGTTTAATGCAGCCAGATGCAGTGTTTACAACCACTTCCTCCATGGGAAAGCGAAGGTACTGACCTTATTTAAGCTGACTCACTGCAACCTTTACGTGGGTCTGCACCTTAAAGTGCCTGTTACGCTCTGCTTGTAAAAAAAATGATTTAACTGAACATCAAACAATTTCTCTCTGCAGAAATCGCGTGCTGGTGACGAGTCAGAATGAAAACTCGAGCGTCAGAGTTGAATATAGAGAGTGTACTGATCTTTTTGGAATTTGGGGAGGATGCTGCAAAGGAGAGAGAGAGGCTTTGCAGAAATCCACATCGTTGCTCTCTTTCCCTTGCACACCCCACAACCAGCTACAGTATAGTTCACTTGTCCTTTCTTTTTCTTTTTTTTTTTGCAGCGTGGTCTCAGCAGTGTTCACATGATGGAGCAGCTCTTGGACTTGTCCTTGCTGAAGGTGGAGGAGAGGAGCTCCGTCTTGCTGGGCAGGTGTAGGAGTCTCTTGGAGAGGCGGCGCACTGGGCTGGGTTTGTTGGCAGGCTGGAGTTTGTTCATGCAGGCCTGAGCCGCAGTACGGAAAACGCTGTGGATGCTCTTCTCTGACGTGAAGGCTGAACACTCCAGGTAGGCCTCCGCTCCGAGCTGCTTGGCCAAGGACGAACCCTGTGAGATGAAGGACACGACGAGCTAAAATAAAGACATGCGTTGTAGAAAGGAGACACGTAGTAGTGTGAACTGTCAAGAAACAAACCTGTTCATGGGAGATCGGAGCCTGCTTCTGATTGGACAGCTCCATGCGCGTGCATACGTCTGTGCGCAGGTCTGTCTTGCAGCCTATTAGCAGGATTCGAGTGCTGGGGCAGAAGTCCTGGATTTCTGCTTTCCACTGCAAAGAAAAGAAACAGGTGTCACCAGTGAGAGCATAAAGAGTGAATGTGAAGAAGGGATGATCATTGATCAGGCGACAAAAATAAACTGCAACAATTCATACTTTCTTCAGAGCTCCGTCTACTGTGTCTGGTCGGCTGATGTCGAAGCATAACAGCACTGCATCCGAGTCGCTGTAGCAGAGCGGCCTGACGTTGTCGTAGTATGGAGAACCTGGAGGGACAAAGAAGTGACAGAAAAAAAAAGCTTTGGTTTCATAACAATGCAGTTTAGGACACGTCTTTGAAAAAGAAAAGTTTTCCCCTTGTCAGCAAGCACAAATAGAAACAAAACTGCTCTTTCTCCAGCTGACACTATTATAATGTTCCTTCACAGCCATCCTCCTCAAATTAACACATTACAAACACATACACCCCTGCCAAAGTCAGGAGAAAACAAATAATTTCACTCAGCTTCAAGCCTTCCCACGGAGGGGAAATTTTCCAGAAAAGTAAACTAACGAACTAACTGAGTCAACCAGCGTAACTCTTCTGTAAATTATAGCAACCGTTATTAGTCAGCAGCAAACTTCATTTACAAATGTTTACAGAAATCCTGTGAAGGTTAATTACTATGAAGAATACTCTTTACATTTTTACCTGTCATATGCATTTAGAACAGAATCTATTAAATGAAATCTGTCTTTACAAATAAATATACACACAAAAGATTAGGTCACTTAAAACCAAAGGCTAAAGCAAAAGTGAAAAGAGAGAATAAACAGCATTCTCATGTCTCTGTGGTAAACAGCTGCAGGATAACTTGGTACAAAGCCTGAAAACAAGGGGGGCAGCCTGGCTCTGTTCAGCAATAAAACTAATTAACAGTAACAATTTGATGTTTTATGGTTGGTCAGTCCAAAGAAATGGCATTTTCCTGTGATTGTTTTTTTTCCAGGCACAATAACAGCCTGGAGTCTCTGCTGGCTGACTAAAAGCTGCACATCAACTCTGTAAAAACTGTATTTTTACATGCTGGTATTTGTACAGACTCAACAAAAAAAAAAGGTAATTTGTGAGGTTTGAATGTGATTTTAGGTGGATCCCCCCCATTTTAAATTGCAAAGTTGCTGTTTGACAAAGCTAAGCTAACAGTTTCACTCCTGCCTCCAGTCATTTTGCCATATAATTAACACAAAGATATACAACTGGTGTGAATCACCATATATCTCCCATACTTCCCGAAACGATTTATTCAGAAGCTGCCGATCCCTTTTAAGCTTTCCACTGTATTTTAAAATCAACATTTGGACATGCTCAAACTTGCACAGCACTGTACTCGGAAAAATTGTGCAAAATTTAATAGAACAGTGAGCGTGAGATTACACTCATCTAATGTTACAGAACTGTTGGATGTTTATGTGCACATCACCCACATTTGGTTGCAACTGTATACTGACTGTAGTTTGAGCAGCTTGCATAACACCAATCAGAAGGAGGAAGAAGTCCTTCAAGCTGCTGGAGGCTCCATGTGAACTTCAGGTGCAACAATAAAGGCGCATCTTGTTACATCTCAGATATTACTGATACACTCACATCATTATCACACATGTCTGGATCAGTAGCTTCTGCTTTTTTCTTCTTTTTTTTTTAAACCAGCAGTAACTTTTCGTTTCTATATTTCTCACTTAGAAACTCACACCATTCATCATCTCCTTCAGGTAGTCTCCGCTGATTATTGTCCCATAAATTCAACACCTGGGTTGTGAGAAAGTGACTAATGGAATGCAGGAAACATAGTTTGCTCACATTTCCATAAACAGCACAAGTATATGTTTAACTCTCAGGAAGACTCCCGTGCTAAAAACAGACTGACAGGATGTCCGCTCTCTATTGTCTTCCCTCTGCCACCTAATCACTCAGCACACCAACACCGAGATTTAATTTCCTACTCCTGTCCTCAGGGGGCCAAATGTGCACAAGAAGCTTTCCTTGCAAACGCTGCATAAGAGGATATAATTGTACCAGGAATAGACACTTTCATTAGGCTCCTACGAGGCCTGACCAGTAATCAGGTCATCTTGGAAGAACAAAAATGTCAAAAAAGCCCTGCTATTCAAGGAAAACCCTCCTGGTTTGTTCGGCCCGTCTCAGTTTTTGACTGGAATCTGCAAAGTAGGACGACTTACACAACGACTATCTATCAATAACATTTCTTTTAGTGGGAATCAAAGCAGCCGTCACATAACCATACAGGGTGATGTAAGGCTTGAGAAAGAGGAGGCAGACGGATCTAAAGAGGACACAACTTGGAGCACCTACCACCTCCCACACACGAGCAGCCCCCCGCCTGGACACACAAACACGCTCGCACAAACACACACACACACACAACCCTTTCAGTTGAGCAAACATGAGGCTGATCCTGTTCAAAGTGTCTGCTCGGCTGTCAAAGGAAAAGGCGAATGTCTTCATAAGCCAACAGAAAGATGAGGCCGACTTGATAAAAGATGCAACACAAACTGGAATGTACGCACTGGAGCCTTTTAATGTGGAAAAAAAAAGCATGTGGGACACGTAGAAATAGGACAAGATGTTCAACTTTAAGTGAAAAATCATAGTTTATCAGAGAGGGACGGAGCTGGAATGACTCAAATAGTCAATCAACAGAAACTGAATCGACAGTTTTTATAATGAACTCAGTGTCTTGGATAAAATGCCAAATATTCTCAATGGGAGGATTTGCTTCTTTCCTTTATTATACGTCACTGAACCATTAATATCTTGAGGCTGGCAGGAAATTCTGGTTGTAATAAATGTTTAGTTTTTATGCAAGCAATTAGCTGATTACTTTAGAAAACTATAAAGTAATATATGAACAATAAAAAATAGCCCTGAATGCTATCAATAAAGCCAATAAAGAAGGAGAATAAAACAATAATAAAGAGTGATGGGAACTCTCCGTACGTATGTGTGTGTGCTGCAAATGTAAATCTGTCTTATGCAAGGTTTCCTCTGGAAAAGGGTGTCCAGAAAGTTTTTTTTTTCCTTCGTGGGAGACAAACACACAAACCTACATTAGTTCAGTGCCGGTTTCAGTTACATAAGACCTTTTTTTAGGCAGCAAACACACCATAAGGCGGCGAGGAGGTCATGCATGTCTTTTCTCTCAGTATCCTTGTGCCTTCTGTTCACAGTGACTGTACGCCACACACAAACACACACACATACACAGTTGCACACATAGTAAAACAAGGCGCGTGCATGCACACACACGCGACCGCAGACTTCCACCCCCTGCATGGACGAGGCTTTCCCCTCTCCCCTGTGAAACAACCCCTCTGCAGGCCAACTGGCACTGCTCAACTTCCTCCCAACACAAAGCCCGAGTGGACACTGTTATAAAACAAATCTATAGCGCCGGATGGGTTTTTCCTATTGATCGCATTTACATAATTTTTCTGTACGTTTAAGGTCAGTAGGCTGATGTAATTAACCTACTAACTCATCCTACAAAACACTTCAAATACTTAGATCCAAAAACCAAGAAAGATTTCAAATTATCAATTAAACTGTTTGTCTTCTTTTTGCCATTAATGAATCGTTTCACCTATAAAACATTTAAAAATGTCACTCTTTAAATGTACAAAGGCCATGTGAACATCTTCTATTGTATGATTTGCTTGACCTGCAGTCAAAAACCCAAAGATCTTCAGTTTGAAACAAAAAAAATTCTCACATTTAAGGACCTGGAACCAGCAAATTATTGGCATTTCTGCTTCAAATCAAACAACTATTTGATTATTAAAACAACTTCAGACTAACCCTACGTAGGACTTTCATGTTGCCATACGTAGAAGCTCTTTCGGGGTCCACTGGAGCCCAAAAAGAATATTTGTTGGTATTCATTATAGACTTTTACACTATGTTAAATACATTTTATGATAAGCTGGTGTATTTTTTGGTTCCAAATGCATGACAAATGTCCCTCTTTTTATATTTAAAAAATAAATAAATAAATCTTAAAAATAAAAACAACACCTTAACCAAATGCCTGGGGTCCAAAAGACCCTAAATGTCCTGAATAGGGTTCATTTTCAGTTCATTAACTGACCAATCAGTGTAGCTCTAGTATGTTTTTCTAATAAAGATCATTTAAAACTGAGTCTGTTCTAGGGAGTATAGTATATGATAGTCTGATTTCTGATTACTTGACCTCTAGGCCAGAGGTCAAGAAATTCGACCCATCTGATAAGTTGAATCTTTACCCACTCAGAAGGTTCACACCCTGATGTGTCTGCACCAAAACAATCAGTTTACAAAACAAAGACACAACCATGGACCTGAACTCATTAAAAAGGTACGTTTCCACAGGCCACACCCCTGCAAGGACTGCAACAATTGCAAGCTTGAAAAAGTTAATTAATCCATCAGTTGACCGTTCAATGGCTGCTTAAGTCATTTTTTTAAGGCCATTTTTTCCTTAAACATTGGCGTTTTTCTCTTTCATATCTTTAAAAACAAAGTATTTTGAGGTTTTGGAAATGCATCTGCAGCTTCTGAAAATAACTATCATAAAAAAAAACTATCAATGATTGAAGAAAATAATAAGCAGATTTTTTTTTTAAAATGCTTGCAGATCCAGTGAAACAGATGTATTCTTGACACCACAAAGAAAACCCTAAGATTGCTGTTAGGTGTGAATGCATACAAGAGGGCTACACTTAGCATAAAGTCATGAAGTAGCACTCATGTATTGGATCTTATTAGCGTGATAGAAGCTCTGCATGTTTCTGTAAACACTAGGGTCTGGATCATTATATGCAAAACAGTGGATCTCAGGCCCCAGATGTCCTGTAAGTAATCCAAGCAAGCCTGTGGTCCACCAGGGGAGATCTCTCAGCAGAGTGAAAAGCTGCTTAACTGCATCAAAACAGGATCGACAGATAGTGAAGTCTGGGTAAACAGCCCTAATAAGACTGTAAACAAAACAATGGACCAGAGGCGGCTTCATTCACAGTTGTTACCCGACTCCAGGCCGGCTGGGATGTTGGGAGGGTAAACAAGTTCCAAATCTTAACTCATTCACATACTCTGAGCCAGACTGATTTAACTCCAGGACTCGGACATGAAGGCTGGGGGGCTTTTGAACAGGCAAAGAGGAGAAGGACGAGGAGATCACAGCACTGCACAACATGCAGTAAATTCAGATTAAAATGAAAAAGCAGGGCTTAGCGCTCACCTGACGTGTCCCAGAGGCTGAGCTCCACACGCTGGTCTTCAAGCTCCAGACAGGCTGTGTAGTTCTCAAACACAGTCGGGACGTAAGTCTGGAAACAGAAACATACACATGGAAAATTATTAACCTATTTATCACTAAAAAAAAAAATGACGTCACAAATGATCAGTGATGGACTTCAGCAGCCTGACCATCAGCAAAACGTATGAAATATGTACAATGTAGGTGAGGAATCTCTTTACTCCTCATTATTTCTCACTTTTTCTATTTTTTTGTTATTGTAGTCTTGTGGGACAGTCACTTTGCATTTCACTGCTCCTACAGTCTGAACATGTGGCAAATAAAATCTCAAATCTTCATTAATTGAAAGGGAAAGACAAACAGATCTTAACAGCTGTGTATTTTTCTATAATCATGAGCTTTATTCTATCTAAGAGAAATACTTGTGTTTGCTCAAATGTGCAGCACATCAGGTGTCTTTAGTCCCAGTTTGAAATATATATATATGTGTTTAGTTTGTACAGGTTGGCTAAATTTACTTTAAATATCCTATCCAGTAATTCTATTAAGTATTAACAAAATGTATATGAATGTAATTTAAGTGACACCAACACCTAAAAACAGAAAAAAAGTGTAATTTATTGCAGGAATCCTGTCAGGTTTATTATTTTAATGAATTACACAACACAAGCTCTAGGTTCAGAATGGTTTCTACTGGCTGCAGCTTCCACTATTGATCCTAAAAGGACCGCAGACAGGAAGAGCTCGTACCTCTGGATAGCAGTCCTTCACCAGGACTTGTAGCATCGCTGTTTTACCGCATTGGACGTCCCCGACCAGCACCAGCTTACACCTCGCTACACAGGGCTGCGTGAGTCTTCTCTCCTTCATAGTGAGCACAGAAACACAAACGTCTTCAGAGCGGGAAAGTTTCGGTAAATCCTCTCGGTGAGCGGCTCGGTGCGGACTGTGAGCTTCGGCGAGTCGGCGTGTTGGAGCAGAACAGCGGCGGCGGCGGCGGTGGGTGAAGGAGTCACTGCGGAACTTTATATTGTCGCGCCAACCAATGAGCGCTGCGCAGTACGAGCACGGAGGAGGGCCGTGCACGATGCTCCTGTTGTTACCAGCAGGGCTGGAAGAAGTATTCACATACTCAAGTCCAAAGTACCGATAATACCACAAAATACTCAGGTTCTGCAAAAAATAAGAATAATATATTTTTTTTATTATTAAATAGAAAAACACTTATGCCCCACCAAAAAACATAATAAATAAATAAGGAGTTTTTAAAAAAGTGAAAACCTGGCCGCAAAGGTATCAGAAATAATATGTTAAATTAATATGGATTACTGTTGTGTTCAAATACTGTAGAAAAAAAAAAAAAAACAGTGGAAGGCAAGTCAATTTTTTAAAGGTAATTTCAATACTGTAAAACTGTGACATTACAGTCACACTTTGCAAAACAACAAATTATTATTATTTTTATTTTTATTTTTTCGATTACGGCAGTACTTACAATTTTTGCCTGTTTTGTTTTGTTTTGGGGGTTTTCTTGTTTGTTTTTTTAACTTTTTGGCCAGGTTTGTACTCACAAACAAGGATTTTGAGTCTGTTGAATCTTGGCTCTCTGTGTACAGTAATCAGAAAAAGTACTAAAATAAGAATATAACAATAAGGTAAAAGTTGAGGAGTAAAGAAATAAACTAGAACAATATTTGTAAGAGCAATACAAACATCCATAATTAGCAGCATTTACGGTCAACATGTAAATGAATGCTTTTTTCTGCACATGGTACATCATATTGAATTTCCCTTCTGGGATAAATAAAGTATTTTTCATTTCATAATCTCCACGTCAAGTCTGTATTTGACAAACAGCAATTTGTTCTTTTACAATGTGTGACCATAAAATTTCACTGTTTTATTGTACTTAAGCTGGTTATTTAAAAAAAAAAAAAAAAAAAAAAACATTTTATGGATATTTACTATTATTTTCACCAGTTTTAGTTTTCAAACATTTCGCTGTTCCAGGTTTTTTTTTTTATATTTTATTTCTGATTATAATATTTATTGTCTGATACCTTTGCTGCCAGATTTTTGGATTTTTTTTCCCCATTTTTTTATGCTCATAGTATGTATTATCGATCCATATAGATGTGTATTAAATAGCGAGACTGCTGCATATCATATTTTACATTACATTTGAACAGATCCTGGCTGGCTGTTTCCCTGTTTCCAGTCTTTGTGTTTTTTCCTAAATGCATCAGGATTGTACCAGAAACAGCAACAAAGCAAATAAATGACATAAATANTTATTATTATTTTTATTTTTATTTTTTTCGATGAGGGCATTACAATATTTGCCTGTTTTGTTTTGTGGTTTTGCTTGTTTGTTTTTTGTTTTTCAGAATCAGAATCAACTCTTTGGCCAAGCTTGTACTCACAAACAAGGATTTTGTTGAATCTTGGCTCTCTGTGTACAGAAATCAGAAAAAGTACCGAAATAAGAATATAACAATAAGGTAATAGTTGAGGAGTAAAGAAATAAACTAGAACAATGTTGTAAGAGCAATACAAACATCCATAATTAGCAGCATTTGCGGTCAACATGTAAATGAATGCTTTTTTTCTGCACAGGGTACATAATTGAATTTCCCTTCTGGGATAAATAAAGTATTTTTCATTTCATTTCATTTCATTAATCTCCACGTCAAATCTGTATTTGACAAACAGCAATTTGTTCTTTTACAATGTGTGACCATAAAATTACACTGCTTTACTGTACTTAAGCTGGTTATTTTTAAAAAAAAAAAAAAACATTTTATGGATATTTACTATTATTTTCACCAGTTTTAGTTTTCAAACATTTCGCTGTTCCAGGTTTTTTTAATATTTTATTTCTGATTGTAATATTTATTGTCTGATACCCTTACTGCCAGATTTTTACCTTTTTAGGGGGGGATTTGTTGTTGTTTTTTCCATTTTTATGCTCATAATATGTATTACAGATCCATATAAATGTGTATTAAATAGCGAGACTGCTGCATGCCATATTTTTCATTACATTTGAACAGATCCTGGCTGTCTGTTTCCCTGTTTCCAGTCTTTGTGTTTTTTCCTAAATGTATCAGGATTGTACCAGAAACAGCAACAAAGCAAATAAATGACATAAATACAATGTTGACTTAAACTGTTAAACACTAATCTCCCAATGACAGTATAAATGTACACGTTTAAGGGGATTTTTGCTGCCTCATCCTCTTTTCGAGGAAAAACGTCATGTGTCTCTGCCTGTAAGCCTGGATCTAATTTTGTCGCCAGCTGCAGCAGGAACAAATACTGACAGATACATCTCAACAACCTTGCAGGAAAATGTGATTCATGTAAATAGTTCTTCCTCATCTGTCAGCAGTTTGTGGAATTTGAGCAAACAGAAGCCATCACAAAGCACCTGATTTGTTATATGACTTGTGTCAACTGCTTTTGGAATTTTCTGTTCTTCAACCCTCGTGGTATCTCAGGTCAGAGGTCAGCTGGTCGAATGATGAAATGGTTGAAAATCTTTAAAGGTTCAAATCAGGACAGAAGTCCAGCTAATGTGTAAGCGTAGTGTGTTTGCAGGTAAACTGAATGTGTGGGATACAACCACATGAGGGCGAATGCAACTTATTTACACACACAACACACGAGTGACTGCATGTGTACACGTGTTTATGTGACACTCTGTGTGGAGCAAACAGGGCAGAGCTGCCTGCCAAACCCAAACAGATGACAGATGGCTTCATCAATCTGAAGTATAACACAGAATTCAAGAGTGTCAGCCATGTGGAGGGGAAATGGAGCATGGTGAGTTGTGCACAACATAAATGGAGAAAACTGCTCAACTGTCACAGAGGGCTTTTAATGCCATTAATGTAAAGTGTGAAAATCTGAACCGACCTGCTGTGTTACAGAGAGAAACCGAGGTAGATGTGTCTTGTTGTCTTGCTTCATTGAAAATTTCTCTTCGTGCTCTGTTCTCTCCCTTCAAATGCATGTTTAACACGTAGTATTAACAAGCAAACACTTAATGCTTCACTCCCTCATGCACCATTTCTCCCTATGAAACACCGTTCATACTAAAAACAGTGTCTGCATCCATCTGTGTTTGCAGGGTTTTAGAAAATACTGCAGTCATGAGTTCTGAGCCGAAACTCTTCCCACATAGAAGACAAGCCATCAATCAAACTTTTATTTGCTGTTTTTGTAAAATGTATCACTCTTTGTTAGGTCTTAAATTCTGCTTTAAAGCATTCTACACTAAAATTCTGTTCAATACTGAACCTTTCCTTCATTTACTTACCTCAAAACAGTTCTTATTTGAGATATTTATTCTGAAGTAATATCAGCAAATCTGACAAAAATAACAAAATGTATCTATGTAACTGTAATGAACTCATTATTAACCCCATTGTTCCCAGACAAATTAATAACTGACATGTTTTCAGTTAAACAAACAAGATGCAACATGTTAATCTTTGACCTGTCGGTGGGCTGGTAGGTGTATTTTTTTTAAGCCAGGCTCGCTGTTTTCTCCTGCTTCCAGTTTTTATGCTAAACTAAGTTAATCTACTTCTGCTTTTACACTGACAGACTGTATGGTGTAGTTCCATGACATAGACTTCAGTTAGACATCTAGATTCATCTGTTACACAAAGTTGTTCAGCTCTTGACTATCTACGAACTACATACTATATATTCCTAGACTGCATAGACATTTGATGCTATTGCTGCAGAGTTCAGAAAGGCTAACGTATGAGCCATTTAGTTAGATTTTGTTGTTTAGCTACACCGCAGACTGTTTTTAGAGGTTTTCTGCTGGCCTATGTGTCACTAGTGTCTTCCTGATGAGAGGTGACAGTGCTCGGAGATGGTGGCACACTTTGGTCATCTGAAGATGCAGTGACTTTTATATGATCCCCAAACTATGACTCCTTGTGTGCGGCTAACATGATGACCTATAGTCTGGCCAACGTGCTGCCTGGGCACCTGACGGCGGTCTGACCCAGATTTATCTGGGTAGTTGCTGCTGAAAGTTACATTTCCCCCCATGTTTCCCCTTACCTAACTTGCCCCACTGACATTTACTACTGAGTGTGTTGATGCGTGTGTGTGTGTGTGTGTGGAGCTGTTATAGTGTTATTTGTCTCCGTGCATCATGAGCCACTGGGAGGCTCAAATAAACCAGTTCAGAGAAGGACAGACGTGCTTCAGATTGGGCGCTTGTGTGCGTCATGTGGATTCATTTGCACCTTATTTGTGAACCTATAGTGGGAATGTTGGTAAAAGGAGACACACATAGGGCATAAATCCCAAATCTGATTCAAATATGTTTTAAGACATGACTCAAAAAGGAAAAATCCATCCCGTCCAATATGCCTCGCAGTGAAAAAATTTGCATAATTCAAGTAAGATGAGGTTGAGAGCTCTTGCATTATGTAAATCAGGGTGTGATGAAAGAATATTAGCATAAACACAAGTGCAATCATGAAGTGGAAATGTATTGGAAATGCTTGTCTATTAATTGTTCACTGATGCTGCAAAGGAGAACCTAGTTCATTACCATAAATCTGGAGTGCAGGTATTTCACACGCTGTAGCATATTATGCTAACAGCTGGATAATTGCAGTGGTGGAGGGTAGTCCTCCCTCTCAGCGTCTTAGTGCCTTTGACAGACGAGCGAAAGATTAAATGGAGTGCATATGAAGGTGTTTTGGTTTGTCGATTGTGCACAAAATAACAAGATTATTTTTCCTTTAAAAGCTTTCTGTCCGTGTCAGAAGTTGCAAGTTAAGTTTCCCTTCAATGAGAGAAGATGACTTTTGATTTAATGCATCTGAGAGCAGCTGCACATGCGTTAAAAAGGGTTTGTGTGCAAAATGTCTTTCTCATTTCTGAAATAAACACAGAATGACAGAGAGTTCCAGGGAGGAAGATCAGGGGATGCAACAGAATGAATTAAATTACAGAGCCAGTCATATTTAATGTACAACAGTGCAAGGGGAGAGGGTTATTTCAGATTAGAGGTACAATAACAGATGAGGGCTCTTGTTGCTGCAGAGCTCTCAACCTTCGGTGTGAACAACGGCACTTCAGTCAGATGGAGTTTTGAGACTCGCTGCCTGAAAACACAACAGGGAAGCCACAACATTATTGAGCAATCAGTGTTGCCACTAGACTGCGTGAACCACCCCAGAGTGGCGGGCAGGACAGAGGGGGCGCCACCTCTGACCCTTTTTCCTCTTGAAAGCAAAAATGCCCTTTTAAAATGTCAAAGTTGTTCTTGCATGTCTCACACAACTACGACTGTATTTGAAGAGGAAAAAACATAAATCAGACAGAAGCAAAGACAAAAGTAGAGGCTGTGTCTCCTTGTTGGTCTCATCTGGATCTTGTATAAAAGGCCGTCTTCACACTTATTATATGTCTTACTATAGCCTTGAGGAACAAAATAATAGAGTCGTTCAGTACAGCTGATTTGCCATTAAGAAAACTACCATCTAATTTCTTGAGATGTGGCTCAAAACGTGACAACCCTGAAACTGCACTGCCCTCTAAAGGTTCACAGTGCAAAGTACAGTCTATAATGAAAGAACAGGGTGCAGTAATTGATTTATTAGGGACACATGTGTCTCAGAAACGCCATATATCTACAGCTACAGCTTCAGCAGGCAAAAAACTACAAGATGTCTGACACTCTGCACTGACAGCCTAAATGAACTAAATGTGTCCTATAGGACTATTATTGTCAAAAGATATATAGTATTTTATTATATTTCCTTCATTATATACATGCCTTCCTTGTCTCTATATTTAAGACATTTTCTTTTTGCCCCTAGAAATGTTTTCTATGAATACATTTTTCAATAACTTCCAACAAAAGCGCACATCTTTTGTTGAAAGCAAGCACTCAAGTTGTGTTGTGGTAAACAAAAACAATTAATAAATAAAATTGAAAACACACACACACACACACACACACACACACACACACACACACACACACACACACACACACTCATTAAGTTATAGAAGGGTTACATTTTGTATGTATTTGTTTTTAAAAAGGTGTTTGCAAAGGAGGGAACCTTTAAAACGCAGTAATTTTAGTAAAGTGATTTTTTCCAGAGGTACTGTTATTATTGTTTTTTTTCATTTGCTGTATTCATTTAGTACATTATTTGAAACAATAAAATAATAAAAACTACATCTCCCGTGAACGTCTCATTGTTGGCGTCACTTCCTCTTTTAAAATCGCTGTGGGACGAATGTTACAAGGTTGAGTTAGTCTTCGAGAAAGACAGTCGTGTAATACTGACAAATTGAGTGTTGCAATCACTCAGATTCCTCTAACTTGTTGTAATTTAGCATTTTATTTCCTTTCTCTTCATCTAACAGAGAAACGAAAGTCGGAAAATATGTTTCTTTACGCGCATACTTCCTGGTTGTGTTGACGTCATAGTCTATACCTGATGTCATTGGTCGTGCCTGTTCCTTAAGTGTTTTCCCGCGCTGTCCTCTGTAAACCAACACACTGAGCTGACAGCTTGTTAATGTAGAAGGCTAACATCCCGGGGATATTTTAGCGCGACGTTACATCGGTATCGGAGCTGTAACTCTGTCATAATGCCGTGCTCAGACTATGACCCGGCGTCTCTGCCCGACTTATTACCGCTGTACTACCGCCGGCTGTTCCCCTTCTCTCAGTATTACCGCTGGCTCAACTATGGAGGAGGTGAGTGTCCTCAGTTCACGGGGGAAATTAACGTTAGCAAGCTAAAGACTGACGCTGTTAGCCGGTGATGAGCTCGCTGTAAGTTAACACAGGTACTAAAGTAATGTTAAAAGGTGCTTTTAGTTGAGTATTTGTGTTACGTTACATACTTGCTCCATGTTTCATAGAGAAATGTAGTACTTTTTATCTGCTCTGAGTTGGTTTATGAGCTGTAGTGACTTGTTACTGTTCACATTAAAATTTTACCTGAAGCATATGATTGTCCTAAAACCAGCCACAGCAGTAAAATGCTAATTGTGCATTGTTACATCCATTTTAACAGTTGAATAATGCTAAATAGAGAGGTGTTGTTAGAGCCAAGGCTATAAGCCCAGAGGGTTCAATGTACAATCACGGTTTGTTTGTTTGTTTGTTTGCCTTACAAAACAGACACATTTTGTAACTGTTCACTACAGAAATTTTGTACTATCCTGATACATAAATACAGATAAAAGGCATGATAATAGACTGCATAAAAATAAGTAATAATATCTATTAACAGTAAAGGAGGAAGCAGAAGACATGCACATTAGTTAAAATCAACAAAATGATAATACCAGAAGTACAAAGAAAAGTAAATTAGTGTGTTACTTCAGTCAAAGATCTCAGGAAGGTGCTAATGTATATTTTTTCCCTTTACAACCTCAGTGCAGAAAAACTACTTTCAGAATCGAGAGTTCTCCTTCACACTGAAAGACGACATCTACGTCCGCTACCAGTCGTTCACCACCCAGAATGAGCTGGAGAAGGAAATGCAGAAGATGAACCCTTACAAGATTGACATCGGAGCAATATACAGTCACAGGGTGAGACTTTATTATCCCGCCACAGGCTTCACACAATCTGTACATCACTGCAGACATATGAAGGACGTTTGTCACTGTTTGTTGCCTACAGCCAAATCAACACAACACTGTGAAGTCAGGGACCTTTCAGGCTCTGGAGAAGGAGCTGGTGTTTGATATTGATATGACCGACTATGATGATGTCCGAAGCTGCTGCAGGTAAGTGAACTATGTGGTTGATTTATGTACTATTGCAAATACAGTTTTCCATACCAACTAGTGTACTTAATAAGAATATCATGACGGTTACATCACTGAGATAACACTTTAAAACTTTGATTTCAGCGCTGCAGACATTTGCTCCAAGTGCTGGACTCTGATGACCATCGCTATTCGTATACTGGATCGAGCTCTTCGAGGTTTGATTGTCACAGATTTTGTTTCAGTCCATGTTGATTCTTGGCAAAATTACCATCAAACACATTTTTTTTGTTGTTTTCTGTTATTTCCAGAGGACTTTGGTTTCCAGCACCTGCTGTGGGTTTATTCTGGCAGAAGAGGAGTGCATTGTTGGGTGTGTGATGAAGCAGCCAGGAAGCTCTCTGTAGCCGCTCGCTCTGCTGTGGCAGAATATCTCAGCTTGGTAAAGGTAAGTATTTTAGCATTTAACAGATATTTATAGCAGAAAACCTCTATTTAAAACCGGAGTCGAGGAACACGGGGAGTTTCCAGAGCTGTGACTCTGCAGAATGCTTTGCGGTTCTTTTTACTTTCTTTACAGCTTTCTACATCTAAACCTTTTTTTTCTATGTTTAATAGGCTGAATTGGGTATAACCACAGTGTGTTTGTGCATATTAATGCAGAAATTCATTCATTAAGATTATTTTTCTTTGCCTCCAGCTAGAAGTGGCTTAAAACAATCAGTGTCACTGCACTTAACAGTTTTGACCTAACATAAACCATGACACAAAATGAAACTAGCATTTATTAAATCAGCGACGGCTAAGTGATAAAATACACTTTTGTTTTATAGGGTGGTGAAGAGACGGTGAAGAAAGTCATGCTGACAGAGCCGATTCACCCTTTCATCAGGTATCTGTGTGGTATATGCTTTTTTTTTTTAGGTTTATCTGTTATTGAACAGACTGTTATTGTTGACTCTGTTTGTGGTTTCTGCTGTTTAAGACTTTGTACTTGTGATCTTCACAGAGAGTCTTTAGTAGTTGTGGAGCGATACTTTCCCAGATACGCGCTGCAGGACCAGGACATACTGGGCCGCAAGGAGTCTGTAGACAAAGTGCTGGCACTCGTCCCTGAGGATATCCTTTTCACAGTGTGCTGCATATTTATTTGAGGAATACATGCAGTAGAGCTGATAGTTGCTGGCTCTTTCAGATGTGATGGACAGAAATGTTAGTGACCTTAACTCATCAATTACATGTAAGAAAAGACCTACAGCAGGATTTCCAAAATGAGAAGAAGCCAGAGACTCGTTGGAAGCTGGTCAAGGACCAAGCCAGTAAGAAGCAGGTGAGGAATCTGTTCATATTAAATAATGACCGGTGTTTAGCTTTTTATTTTGATTTTACCCATTACAACAACACAGGGGCTTATGGTTTCAATCTTGATTCCTCCAGGCAACTGCCAAAAAGTTCCAGCACTTCGAAAAAGAAATCATGCTGCAGTATTGTTACCCACGGCTCGATGTGAATGTCAGTAAAGGTGTGAACCATCTGCTGAAGAGTCCTTTTAGTGTCCATCCCAAAACAGGTGAGCATAAAGTTCAAAGATGGAAAAATCTGAAGCGCGTCATTGTTTAGTGAAACTATCACCCCTTTCAGAATCTGACAGCATCTGAACGTGTCGGCTTCATGTCCGATTGAGCACGCTGCTCACTTTTCCATAAAAAGTAATCTCACTATGTTGAACCTTGTAACATTTCTGTATTACTATCAACTTTGCACAAGTCTGAACTAAATGACTTGATGAGTTGTGGGAAGTTTAGGGAGGGATTTTTCCACATTTGAGCAACAATATGTGTCCAAAAACATCCCAAAGCAAAAAAGACAGTTTGGCTTTTTTTTTTTTAGCCATGTAAAGTTCTCATGTAAAAGACTCGAGGATTTCTTTCTTCTCTTGTTTTTCCCATAATTATTGGTGAAATGAAATACGATTTAAGAAGTGCAGTGTACATCACTGACAGTCTCACTGTGTCTCTTCCAGGACGCATCTCTGTTCCCATTAACCTCAAAGAATTAGATACGTTTGATCCCTTTGCTGTACCCACCATCAGGTAAGAGATCATTTAATAATTTGTGCGCTCCTGTGTGCCGTGTGATCCTCATGACAGCTGATATTGTACAGTTTTTGTTGTGGTTTTCTTTTTAGTCTCATCTGTGAGGAGTTGGATCGGCCCAGGCCAGGCGAAGAGGAAGAGAAGTCAGAGGAAACAAAGGAGAAGGAAAATGAGAAAGATGCAGCAGAGAGGTGGAAGATTAGAGGTACATATAAAACATTTACCTTTTTGTGTCTCTAAATGGGCTTTCCTGGGCAATTTCCTGCCTCTAAGTGAGGTAAATGTGGCACCTTAACCATGACAAGCCAGAATTAAGTGTTTTTCTTTTATACTGATATCAGCTTCAAAATACTACATGTGCTGAGCAGATGTGAGAGACCTCATTTTCCAACTTCTCGTGAAGTATAAGATAATAATTACTAAAATATTGTGTAGCTGTGCATTTTTTTTGTCTCAACAGCTGTGCCCATATTGCACTTAAGAGTAAAAAAAAATCTTTGGCATAATGTTATGATAAAGTCAGATTTATCCCTATTGTATCTCTAGGAGAAGTTCCATGTGTAATTAACAACAATCTGTTGTATGTAGAATCTACAAATATAAATTAAACGATATAAAATCTAGGGGAAAAAGAGTGTAATACTGGAGAATGGTGGAAGTTTGCTTGTTTATAGAGCAAAAAGGGTGAAAACGTATTGTATGAGCAATTTAGTCCAACACTGACTAGTGTAGAGAATAAAGATGCAACAAAGTCATTACTAGCTTTATTTTTGTTGCTGGCACCCCAGACAGTTGTGGAAGACGGGGACACGTGACGTAACATCATATCAAATATGCGTTTTTGCAGCATCTGCATATAGTAAGCGAGAACTACTCCACTCTGAATTATTCAATCACACTGAACATGTATGAATAGGTGTATGCTGCTGCTGTAAAGTTTTCATCTAAGATGAAAAAACAATATTAATTGAATTTCCCTTCTGGGATAAATAAAGTTTTTTGATTTTTTTTCATTTCATTCAATATTAGAATTAAATAGTGTATTTTTAAGTCAAAGCAAATTTATTAGATAAAGTATTGTTAGCTCAAGCTTTCATATTTAAGTTTGCCAGTAGGGGTAAGACTGATGTTTTATATTTCATTTGACTTCAAAATTTCCTTCCAGCTGTTTGAATTAAGATGTAAATATTCATTAAATATGTCCCTGAATGTCTCAGCTCATGGATTCTTTTTTTTGTTTTTTTTGTTTTTTTTTTCCACAGATTACAAAAGAACCAGCTTGGCAAAGTATGTGAAACACTTTGATCAGTTTCTAGATGGAATGGCTCGGGCATGGAAAGGAGAACTTCTCAGAAAGAGCGGTGAGTTTTAGCTGTGGTAGGTTGAATGAAGACAGAGCAAATTTTTAGTGTTTTGCAATGTAATAATTTGGCTTTCTGTCCCCTTCAGATCTTCAGAAAGAATTCTGAACTGGACCAACAGTCAGAGAACGACACCTCTGAAGAGGCACAGCTTGTAGCTCTGTGGTATTGAGTGGGGCTAATGATGCAAACTTGGCCTCTTTTTAAGGTGTAATGGGGACATTTTTCAGACGGACAATAATTTCAACCAAATCTGTTGATTGTTTTGCTCTGCTGTGACTCAGTAATTGTACATTAATACAACAAACACTTCCTCGTTTTCTTACTGTAGAATTTCATACTAAAATGCCAGTTTTATATTGTTTTTCTACCTGTTGCCTTCCTTATGCTACAGACATTTGTGAAAATAAATTTATTTCTGCTTTTGCTTATGCTGTATTTTTTTTTATTAGACCAGATTTTACAGATTTAGTTTTTCTACCTAAACCTAGCTATTATTTCAAAAAAGTATTATTTCACCCAAATCTTTCATCATTAAATATTTTTAAAAAGACAAGTATGTAGGTTAGGGACTCTGTTTATAGTAACTGCTCCACTACATCTGACATTTTGTAACATATCAACATCTGTAGTCTCCTGTGTTTATGGGGTTCCTGTGCTCCTTTGTACCTTAAGTCCACCAAGGTGTTGTTGAAGCACCGGTATTGTGGTGACTGTTGCTAGCCTACTTTCTGAACAGATTTGTTTTTTTCTAACCATTTGGATGGTGTCTTGCCACATGTAAATATATCATCTAGCAAACAGAATAGCACCAGAGTGCATTCTGTTTGAAAATCAGCTGGAACTTCTGTTTTATGACTATGCTTTAGCTAATCTTCAGTGGTTGAGGAGCAAAGCTACATATGCTACTTTCTAAGTATTTACATTATTTTACAGCTATAGTCACAATTGCTGTTTTAATATTTTATATACACAACCTAAAGTCAGACTATTAATTATGATATATTGTTACAGATTAAACTACCCTAATAGGCAGCCATTTAAAGCAGTAAAATGCTCTTTACTTGTTAGTATTTCAGTAATTATATCTTTTCTTGTATGTTATTTGTACATTTTGCATTCTGTACTCTTGATATTCAGAATTATGTTGTGTTGCTGCTTTGACTCGGATAACACACATTCCTTCCTACTTAACATTTCATCAGCACAATTTTCTTGACATTTATGTCAATAAATTTGTAATGTAATGTGCATAAAAATGACATGCACAGTCACTCTACCATATCTAATTTCTTTTGTGCACAGGGTTTATGTGTTTCATTTTTTCTTTTCAACTTTTTTGAAAAAGTCAAAATGGGAAAATTTCGCTCACTGACTTCACCTTAATTGTAGCATCTGCTTGAGCCAAAACTACCTTAAATAACATCTGCAACCTGCATCCAGCTGCTGCACAAGGAGTGCATCCTCTTTAACATTATAACTCTGATGTGCCATATGTCTACATGTTTTGTAGTGTAAAATGTGCAGCACTTATTAGATGCAATATATACTCTTAACAGATTATCATTGATTCAAAGAATATTACAACCACAACACAAAAGAAGCTGACGTTAAAGGACACACTCATTAAATTCAAACACAACAGTTTCAGGGTGGGATCACACACATTTCTGACTAACCTGTGGTTTAAATATGCTCTTATGTTGATTTTTTTATTTTTTTGCTAAAATAACTTCTGACCATGAAATGTGGTTCTCCAACAATTAATATCAAAGGAATGGGCCACAACATAAAACTTTAAAAGAAACAGAGACTTTTTATTTAAAGCTAACTTTTTGGTATATTTTGATCAAATCAATTAAAATCAGAGAAACCCAACAAATCCAAAGTTTCCTTTGGATCCCCTTTGAGCAAGCACTAAGGGACAACAGGGAGGAGGAAAAAACCTCCAGCAGAACCAGGCTCAGGGAGGACGGCCATCTGCCTTGACCGGTCGGGGTGAAGGAGGAGCAGAGAGACGGCAGGACAGTAGAGGACAGACAGACATCAGAGCTGCCCTGCAGGCTGATGAGCTGAAACAAACAAACATCACAAAGGTTCTCAAACAGACACACAAACAGTGCAGTTTAGTGTATAAAGTCTCCTTTTCATTTGAAGTATTAACAGAGATATCACATATAACAAATAACTACATTTTCACAAACAGTTATACACTATATACTAAGTACTGGTGTGAGCATGCAGTATCTGTAGAGTAATTCTTAGTAAAGCCCATTTAAATTACTGGTACATCCTGCTCCTCCTTGTTCTCTGCAAAGTCTCTGGACATTGTTACTTCTGGTGGTCCCTCGTCCTCATCAGACTTCTGGAGCTGTTTCTTCTACTGGAGTCCTCTTTGCAGCCTTCTGTTCATTTTGGATTTGTCCAACGCCAGTCCCGAAAGAAAACAAAGAAAACAATATGGCAGAATCTGATTGAGATTTTTATAAGTTACACAGTAATCATTTTAAAGAGCAGGTTTGGCAGCTGACAATATCCTAAAAGTATCAATCAGCCGACCAACAGCATGAAGAGAAGAAAATCAGCATCTATGAAACTCACCTTGTTGTCTGATTCTCAGTGAGCTTATCATGGGAAATGGGAGAAGGTGGCGCTCTGACCTGTTGAGCTAACCTCTCCCACATTCCACCATGGTGAGCTACACATGGACACTAATCTTACCTAAAAGTAAAACTTACCTCTTTTCTTCCCAGTTAACCCTGAACTCTGTCCTTGTCACTGTCGATGCCACAGTCGATGGAGGGTGGGCAAATAAACACATGTGAACCTCCACAACATGTTATCTGCATCCTTTTTAACATCTGACAGAGCAGAGCTTCACTGTAAGGGAGTAGAGTGTGGGAGGTTTCACGCAGTTCAAACAGTTTATGGAGAGGGTGTGAGGAGTCCCTGACAATGTTCAGTGTCCTGCTCCTGCAGCGGCTCTGGAAAAGTTCTTGTAAAGAGGGGAGGGAAACTCTGATGACCCTCTCAGCTCCTCTAACTATCCTCTGCAGGGCTTTTCTGTCTGACATACTGCAGCTGGAGTACCATGTTGAGATGCAGTATGTCAGAACGGTCTTCACCACACCTCTGTAAAAAGTCCTGAGGATGCTGGCAGGGAGAGAGGCTTGTTTCAGCTTCCCCAGGAAATGCAGTCTTTGCTGGGACCGCTTGATGATCGCTGCAGTGTTCTTATTCCAGCTCAGGTCCTGTGAGATCTGCACTCTGAGGAACTTGATGTTCTCCACTCTCTCCACTGTGCAGCCACTGATGCTGAGGGGAGCATGCTCAGGTCATGACCTTCGGAAGTCGACGATCATCTCCTTCGTTTTGTCCACGTTGAGCAGCAAGTTGTTCTTCCTGCACCAGCCCTCGAGGTGTTTCACTTCACTTTCACTTCTCTGTACATTGATTCTTTGTTCTCGTGAATAGTCCCACTACTGTGGTATCATCAGATAACTTGATGATCTGGATCCCCTCATGTGTGGCTGCACAGTCGTGTGTTAGCAGTGTGAACAACAGTGCACTGAGTACACAGCCTTGAGGAGATTCAGTGCTCAGCGTGATGAAGTTCAAGATGTTCTTTCTGACTCGGACAGACTGGGGTCTTTCGGTCAGAAAGTCGAGGACCCAGAGACATGTGGCAGTATCCAGGTTGAGTAGGAGGAGTTTCTCTTTTAGTCTCTGGGGGATGATGGTATTAAACACTGAGCTGAAATCAATGTACAGGATTCTGGCGTAGGTGTTTTTATTTTCCAGGTGGGTGATGACTGAGGGCAAGGTGGTGGATATTGCATCCTCTGTGGAGTGGTTGGGACAGTAAGCGAACTGAAGGGGGTGGAGTAATGCAAGAAGGCTGGCTGTGATGTGTGGTTTGATGAGCTGTTCAAAACACTTCATTACAATCGGTGTTAGTGCGATGGGATGATAGACATTTTATGAAAACAAAAAAAAAGTCCAGTCACCATCTTATCTCTGATATTTTAACACTAACTTCAACAAAATTCATACTGATTACAGTTTTTCTTAAGTCACTACAACTGTGTTTGACATTCATCACATTTAACTGACATTTTTCATAAATTAAAACTTGGTACAAAATAACAATTTGACATAATTTTATTTTTTTAAACAATTTTCCCTTAAAAAAACAACAACAATATGTGCAATTACACTGCAGTTTTGGTGTAAAATGTGATAAAACAATTTTACAGCAGAAAACATCAACAAATATAACCCCAACTATTTTTCAAACAGGACATTAAACATTCTGTTACTTAAAAAAAACTCTAAATCCAACAATTGCTATGAATTGATCATATTGATTTGCATGAGGTTAACATTACATCTTCTCCAAATGTTGCTGCCATATGGCCAACTTAATGAATAGAATCCATTTATTTATTGTATAGGTAGAGAAGCTGTTGTAGCACCGACTACAATTATT